CACAAAGATATATAAGGCATGAGGACCAGAAACTAGAAGTTTTTGGCTGGAGAAGATTTTGGCTGGTTAAGCATTCAGGCTTTTGAGCAGTAATTCAGCTGAGACCCATTCTGGATGAGGACTCAGAGGCCTCCAGTCTGAGGAGACAAGACCAGCTGAGGATCCAGCGAGGTGAGATAGCTGTGGCTTGTTCTGTCTCTCTGATTTACCAGCATTGACCCCAATAACTGGCCTCAGGTTTGATTTTATTAATAAGAACTTCTAAGATTCCTGCAACAATCTACTGGTATCTTTTTGCTTTTTTGGTGGCGGCTGGCATTTGTCTCCCCTCGCTCTCCTTTCTTCTCTCATCTCTTCAGTTTGAATGTCCTTCCTAACCTTATTCAGCCTCGCCATTGGCCAAACAGCTTTATTTCTCAACCAATCCGAGCAACACATATTCACAGCTTACAGAAAGCCATCCCAGAGCACCATGTAAGTTAATTGATTAGGGCATTTGAGTCTAGTCAAATGGAGATATGACATGGCAATGTCTGAAGCATGCTTTTCATAGAAGGTTGTTGTTCATGGCCTTGTTAATTGAAATGCAGAAACAGCAACTGTTAGAGATGCAGTCTCATGGCCCTCTTGCCTCTTTCTGTGCATGTACGAGAAATTTATAGAATGTTCTCTGTGCTATGAAATGTTTGAAATCAGGGAGTAAAGCCCCAGATTCTTTGATTGGCCAAGAAAATCTGGAGAGAGAGAGAGAGAGAGAGAGAGAGAGAGAGAGAGAGAGAGAGAGAGAGAGATATCTTACTCACCTGTCAATCTACCTGCAGTGTTCTAAGTGTGAGGTCTTGTGAGACATTCGAGGATGCAGTGAACAAATCCTAAGTAAAATTTGGAATTCTTTAGCTTTGGAAATAAGAAATTTTTCTCTCCACAATGTGCTTTATTTTTTATTTGATTTATTTTTCCATATCAATTTGTTCTCTGTGCTGGGTGAGTTGTCTGCTAGGCACAAACAACTTAAAGATGAATGTCACATAGTTCAGGACTCTCAGAGACTTGTGGTCTCATCATGACAGGCATATACTAAGGAAGCAATAGTACTCTATGGTTCTTGCTGCAGTCCATTTTCACAACTACTTTCTAGAGGTATTTTTTTTTATGAGGGTCACACTCTACCTTGAGTTGCTAAATGTAGAGACAGAGAACATGCAGGTTTCTATACATACGTGGTATGAAGAGGGTTTATAAGTGATGGTGGATGAACTTGGAAAAGCAATCTTAAGAAGGAAATTCTGAACACTCTGTCTTCCATTGATGAGTTCAAGACGTTAAAACTTCCTGCAGCACTTCCTCCTCTTTAGAGTTTCTGGCAGTCAAGAAAACCCACCCTGCCTTCAGACAGGAACTTTTCATGAATATCATGGCACTGAAATCCACTTCTCATGGACACACTACGATTTACAAAGTGTCTTCTTGGAGTTGTTGGAATCTCATTTCTCCATCTGGCCTGAGAAAATTTCATCTTTTTGTCTTTTCATGGAAGGTCATATGGGCTCTGGAGAAACACGTGTGAGAAAGCCCACAGACAGTCAACACTCTGTAAGGTGTTGTGCTAGTTTGCTGGCCAGTGTGATCAAGTGCAGGGAAAAGCAAATGAAGGTGCTATTTAAATACTGCAGCGATGCGTGCACAGAAGTCTAATTCAGCGGCTGCAGAGAACCCAAGACTGAAGTTTGCACCTGACATCTCAGTGTGCTTTGTCCCGTCTCCCCTGCACCTTCCTCTCCACTCACTTTCCTATGGTGAATAATGCTGAGATGGGAATAGTAACCTATCAGCTATAGCTTTTAATTGAGGCCAAATAGTAATTTGTTTTTTCAGAACATGACAACCACGTGTGTAGGCTTGGGTTACCCTCTCTCCCTCCATAGGAACCTTTGCTCTGTGTAGCAACTATGTGAAACTTAAGTTAGCATTTCTTTTTGAATTGCTCCTGTTCTGAGCTCTGTAGGACTCTTCTCCTGTGCTTTGTTACTCTCATCACCCGACATCTCTGCTCTTCATGCTTTGCCAAATCTCCACATTCTGCAGAGGTTTTTACCATTTAACATTCTTCTTCCTTCCTTCCTTCCTTCCTTCCTTCCTTCCTTCCTTCCTTCCTTCCTTCCTTCCTTCCTTCCTTCCTTCCTT